CATTTCTGCCCTGAAATTAAGTAGTCCAATAGATGCTGTCCTCATGGTCTTTGCTGCAAATTCTGAATAACTAAAATTCACATTAAAGACCTGTGGGAAATGAAATAGTGTGTGAGAATAGTTACAGTCAGTCAAATTTGGGAGTACCTGGACTGAAGCTACACCGTTCTGACAAAAGGCCTCCTTGTGGATGACTCTATTTGCCTCATATTTTTTACATCTTAAATGTTTTATTTCCTATAAAAAATATGGCATATCCACACATCATTTTGAACAATGTTATCAGAGAGCACAAGAATTATTATTTTTATAGCTTAATTATTAATACAGCAAGAACTGCAGCAACTTTAATGGGTGGCTTTAAAAACATACACTGATCAGTCAAGTGTATTCAAGAGAAAGGCCAAATTTTCCAAAATTGAGGTACCTGGAGAAAAATTTTAGGTATGAGTATGAGAGAAAGAACTTAGAGAGGGGGGAGAAACAAAGGATAAAGTTTTATTTCCTCCTCATTCTTAGTCCAGATCATTATTCCCTCTTCTTTTCTTCTTTTTCTAGGAAATGGCAGAATTGCAATAAATTAATAAAACATTCACTCAACTTCTTCTTGAGTAATTTCTTTTTTTTTTTTTTTTCCCTCCAGATCTCCAGTGTCTCTCTGAACTTGCTCTGAGCATGCCGATGCATCTATGCATCACTGTCTTACCCTCAGTTTTGCTCTTGCTTTCACCCAGACATTCCTTTGCTAAAGGATTTGAGGGATGTTCATGCCAGGGAAAGCACGAGAAGACCGAGTAGAATATTTAGAGCCCAAGCAGAGCCTTTGCTCCTGTAAGTGAAAACTCCAAGAGCAGGGGGTGAATGGATGGTGGAGCAGCATGCTGCTTGCTGTTCTCAGCACATGTCCAGGATGCTGCTTGTCAGTGAGGGGATCTATCAGGATCGCACGGGGGTGGTATCTGGCATTGCCATATGGGCCGTGGTGTATATATGAAAAAGATAAAGCAAAGTGGCAAAGCGTTCAGAACTGCTTATCCCAAGGGAGAATGACATTTACAAACAATTCCTCCTCAACACTGAGAACTGAACTTTTAAAAAATAATCACGTTTTTCTTTACAAGGAAAAACAACAGTTGTCACTTGCTAGCATTGCTTCTTAGCTAAAAATCTGATTCTGTGTTTTACTTGTTTCCCCAAATTATAAACAAGTTTCATGCTGCACAAAGCCTCCAAGGACATTACTGAACCTGTCAAGTACCTCCCTGTGGGTACATGGAGGCTCTCAGCGGTAAGCAGGTAAAACATGTTCAGAAAGGTCCCTCTGGGTCAAGGTTCTTTCCGAATTATTTGTTCTTTTCTCTTCAGGTTCATATGCTTTTCTCTTTATCTTTATTCTTCATCTTCAGAACCTGAATAGTAATTTTTCTTTTTGGAGCAAACCACACCTTTTTACCACACTGACATTTCTTAACATGTGCTTACTGAATTATCATGATTTAAGCAACCTGAAGTATTGAGATCTCACCCTAGATAAATACACCTACTGTATTTTTGATGGATAGATTGATGCTACCTGTGATTGCCATGTGGTAGAACAGCGTTCAGTGGCTTTTCATCTAGACTGGATGTTTGTATCAGTCATGTTAGAAGCACAAATACACACATTTCATTCTGAGCATCTCCTGCTAGTACTGAGACTATATTACTAACTTCATTTCGAATGTGGGTACTTCTGTTGTTGTGATTTTTTTTCCCATTCTGATTTCTTGCTTTTATCGACATCTATACAGTTTCAAGGATTCAGTTCTTATACAACTGTACATTATTTGGCTGAGATTTTGTACTATCTTTTCCAAGTAAATCTGATAAAATCAGAGCATTTTACCACACCTATGATAAATTGTGCTCAGAAATATTTTCCAAGGGAAAGAATGCAAATATAACACTGACATTATCTGCAAAACAACTGCCACCTTTATAATTTACAGGAAACTCATAATTATCCCGGAAATCAGTTGCGTGTTGTCAATGGTGTGGGAGGTGTTCATGCTGTTGTAGGTTTGACCAACTAGAATATATCCTCTGTACATCTACTACGTGCAATTAAGTTTACACTGGAAATAAGACATCTACTATTTTTATAAGATCTAATAATGCAAGCTGAAAGAAGCACATGATTTTCACTTTCAGAGATGACACTGCTTTTGAAGAAAAAGGCTTGAGTAAAGTCTTACCCAGAAGGATGAAAGATAATGGCAGTTGATACAGTAGTGCAATTTTTTTTGGTATAATAACATACAGGGTATTGTAGTTTCTTTGTGAAATAGAAAATATGTCTCAAAAGGCATTTTTCATGCAAATGGAATCAGCAACATAGTTAAATCAGGAGGTCTGTAAAAGTACTTTTAGAAAGCTATGCAAAAAGGGGAAGCATACCAAATTAAATGAAAAAGAGGCATTCTCTTCTCAAATGTGCTGAAATAAAATAAACACTTCCCAAATTAAATTGACGCTATAAAAATAAAATTGATAACTATCACAGATAGTTAAACCTGCAGATTTTCATGTCATATGTATCAGATTACAGTGAAATGTGACACCTAAGGTAGCTCTGACAGAATTTTCTGTTCTCAGCTGGATCAGCCTTTTAATTTAATTTAGTACTGGTAGATGAAGTTTTGGAAGATACAGGACTTCTCATACAAGAAAATCAGTAATCACAGGTTCCAGGAGAGAGAGGAAGCCAGAAATGATGGAATACAGTTGTTACTCGCAGCAGCCTACTGTCAGTGTGAAGATGCATCTTCTGCACCACGTCAGAGGATTCCTGGAGAAATAGTCTGCCAGAATTGAGCTTCAGTGGCATCTTACGCCCTGCTGTGCCCTCTGTTAGAAAAACAATGCTCACAGTTAGCACTGTTAGGTGCATTCGGCACATGGACTGTATACAGGGTGTCTCTCCTGTAGCCCTTTTCAAAGCTTTACCTCTCTTTTTCACTGGAAGATAGCCTGTATTTCCATCACAGTGTTTAGTATAATAATACACTTGATTTAAGATTGATGAAAAATCACCCATGCAGAAAGAACCCTTTTAACCAAGATGTAACAGATATATGCATCATTTCTATTCAAAGGAGAAAAGTACAAATCAGGCACATGCTTCAGTATAATCCTGTGTAGTTATAAAGAATGTGCATAGAGCCCATTTTGTTGAAAACAGTATAAAGCTGCAAGAAGTTTTTTTGCTAACGGTTTTCAAGACAGCCTTCCACTCAGCCCTGTGTCTCAGCAGATGCTTTTGCCACCAGTTACCCAGAAAAGCTTCAACCTGCTGGGCTCTGCAAGCAGCTTGTGCTCATGAGCATTAATTTCCATTGTCTCTGGCAACCTTAATCTGAACCCAATCTTACCTCCTTCTTCTACTCAGCCTGAAAGAATAACTAACATGCCGGTCAGTTTTACTGCTTGTAACCAGAAGGCATGTCTGACAGAAGCCAGCATGGCTTTCCAGCAACAGTATTTTAATCGTAACTTGCTGAAACCATTTATGTGCTAATAAAATTGGGAATTTATTTAAAGAAAATATACTTCTGAAGACTGTGTCTGCATTGATTTTTTTACTTTGTCCCACTTGCTTTGTTTACATCTGGATAAAATAAAAAGGTTTACTTTATTGACATCCGGAGAAAATAAAAACAATCCATTTTCTATGTGAATGTAATGCTGTTCAGTAACAAGGCTTCTTGCTTCAGGAAATTTGATCTTTGTTCTCCTGGACGCATTCTCTGTTCCTTTCTCTATTCTTTCTCACACAACAGAGCATTAATACTACCTGACAGAGAAAAAGGAAATTGTACTGCAATGCCTTTTCATAAGCGTTATTTGTCTTACCACTAGATGATCACTAGAGAGAAGTTATGGTGCAGTAGTTTGGATCGGTTTGCGAGGAGTGCTTTTAATTACAGAATGATACTGAGTTTTACAAGGCAGTTATCTAGTTCTTCAGTGTATGAAACACTACCAGACCCCTACAATCTAGGAACTCAACAGAAGAGTATTTTTCTTGTGCCTTTTTTGCCTGCTCCCACGCTTCTGGTTTAAAGTATTTTATTATGGACTGGGTTTTTTTGAAAACATTTAGAGGCTCATATAACTTAGTTCACATGAATAGGGCAACTGAAATTGGGACAAAACGCACACTTGTGATGTTTAGAATCTGTTTGGCAGAGGCTTTGGCCTCCTGCTCACAGGGAGATGCCTGGTAGATACATTTGCTGCATTAGAAAGCCTTAATATGACATTTAAAAGCAAATTTGTATATGCCTATGAATCACATTAATGGGACCTTGAAGATCACCTAGATCCAGCCCCCTGCCACGGGCAGGGACACCTTCCCCCAGCCCAGGTTGCTCAAAGCCCCGTCCAGCCTGGCCTTGAGCCCTGCCAGGGAGGGGGCAGCCACAGCTGCTCTGGGCAACCTGTGCCAGTGCTTCACCATCCTCACGGGAAATAATTTCTTCCTTATAATCCAACCTAAATCTTGCACGGGTTTCCATGTCTACCGACGGTTTATTTCTAGACGCGGTGAAGCTGTGTGTCACGCTCGGGCCTGCCGCGTCACCCCCTCAGCGGCCCGCCTCCCCGCTGCCCCCCCTCATTGCGCGTTTTGGGGACAGGCGGGTATTTTTAGAAGCTGCCGGGGGCACAGGCCTGAGGAGGAGCTGCCTCCCACTCCTCCGCGGCCCTTCACGGGCGAAGGAAGCGCCCAGCCCCTCTGCCAGGGCCATTCTCTCCCGCCCCCCCCCCCCCCCCGCGCCTCAGGAGCGTGTGTCATCCCCCTGCGGCTCCGGGTTCCGGCGCAGGCCCCGCCCCCTCCCCCGGCAAGCCACGCCCCCCGCGACCGTGGGCGGGGCCTCCCGCCGCCGTCACACCCACCCCTGCCATCGGCGCGCGCGCGCGCCCGCGGAAGCGGAGGGGCGGGGAGTGGTGCGCGCGTGACCCGGCGGTGCGTGACGTAGGAGGAAGAAGACGCCATTAGGGGGAGCGGGTCCGTCGGCCGCGGGGAGCGGTGTGGTTCTCGGCGGCGTTCCCCCTCCGCCGGTCTCCCTTCCGCTTCCCCCCGACACCCCGCCGCGGGTCCCCGTCCCGGAGGGTGGCGGGCGGCGGCGGCAGCGCCCCGCGGGCGCGGCGCGGCCCGTTGATGTGAGGCAGCATCCCGGTGGGGCGCGGATGGCGGCGGGGGCCGGCGCGGCGGCCGGCGGCCGCAGCTTTTCCTTCAAAGTGGTGCTGCTCGGGGAGGGCTGCGTGGGGAAAACCTCCCTGGTGCTGCGCTACTGCGAGAACAAGTTCAACGACAAGCACATAACCACCCTGCAGGTGCGGGCCGGGGCCGGGGGGGGGCGGCGGGGTGAGGGGGTGTCCGGGGCTCCTCTCCCCTTCCCTTCAGCATCTCCCGGGGTCGCTGGCCGGTGCCAGCCTTCCTGGCATCTCCCTGAGGCGCTTCCCGGCCTGCCCTTTCCGCCGCGGTGCTGGGGGGGGGGCTGGGGGGGCCTGTCGCTCCGCAAAGCCGCGCTGGGCTTTTGGTGCTCGCCGTCTTGTTAACGGCTTTAAGGGTGGCCGGGGTGACCCCTGCCCGCTCGTTAAACGGTGGCTGGGCCCCGCCGAGTCTGGCTGGAAGCGAATTATTTTTATTTCCTTGGTTTTAAGCTTTCCGTTTTTTAAGGCCTTGTTTCTCTTCTGAATAGCAACTGCTCCTTTTTTTCCAGTTATGTACATTAATGTCTTCATTTGAATTTGGGGAAGTATGATTTGCAAATAATGCTGTTGTAAGCATTGACGGCTAATTGTTTTGTATGTGCTGCATTTCTGTTAATTATAGTCTTTGTCCTGTTCTGAAATCCTAATGCTGGAGCTAGCTAAATATTACTGTTCAAAGTGAACAGCTTTCATGACATGGTTTATGAGATTAAGGCTTATGAGTTAAGAACAGAAAAGATTCTTAAGGCCTACTTGCTTGTCATGTTATGTCCCTGAATTCTGGCCTGATTCTCAGTAGTACTGTCTGTAAATTTATAAAGAACTAAAAAGTGATGTTCCACTTATAAAATGCGACAGGATGTCTGCTTGAAAGTAATGTTTTTACGTTACTTACTAGCACTGAATGGTATGCATGCCATGTTACAAAATAAAATGCTTATACTGTACATGGTCTCAGAAAACATGTTTTAAACTTAATGCTGTGGGTGGTATGTTAAGTCTTTTGGGATGTCTCTGCTTGCTTAATCTTTTTATTTGCAGTTGCACCAGTTGCACAGCATCTTTCTTAGCAGTTGTGAACATGTATATGAAAGTGTGATTTTAACACTGTAATATATACTGCCCTTATTTTTTTCTTATTTCTGTAAATAAAGAAACAAACCCTGCCACCATGTGGGCCACAAATGAGTTTTGAGCTACTTCTGATGTTCTGTGAATAAATAGTGTATGGGGTTCTACAGAATCAATAGTAAGTGGTGCCAAGAAAGAGCCTTAGGGTAGCTGTGTACTGTTCCTGTGCATTTAGGGGAAAATTCTTGTGGGTTGGGTATCTCAGAAGTATTTAATAGTGAAACTTTCCCTTGAGAAACATTAGAGATGCACTAGAAACAATACCCTGAATATTTCATTAATAGATACTGTTGCTCTATTTTTGCTATAAGGAGCTAAAAATAACATGTTTTAAACTTTGTTACCCTATGTTCATACTCTGCTGTTGGATTTATCTGTTGATATGTTTACTAGGCATGGTGTGGTATTTATGGCAAGTTGATTGTAGCTCTGATTGCCATAGAGGTAATTGGAATTTGCTATGCTACAGAAATGACTAGTAGCTTGTAGGTGTCATAGCTGCAGCTGAAGTGTAGCAATGAGCAAACAATCATTTGAAATGCATCCAAATGATTGTGTATAGCTGAATTCTCATGTCCCATGTAGAAGGACAAGAGCTGAGTAGTTTGTCATGTGATGCAGCGCAGTTGGTTTTTGTGTTAATCCTGTTCTTTAAATCTGTAATGGGAAACATAATTTTAGCAGCAAAAAGTGAGTTGGAATACAGACTTGGGTCACAAATGTCATAAAAAGGACCTTTAAATGGCTCCGAAGTGTTGACAGGAAAGTGTCTCTAGATATTATGACTTGAGAGCTCTTGGTTTTGACTGTCTGGAGGGGGGTGTGTGTGTGTTCTTGTAGAGGAGTGGAAGCATGTGCTTACGCTTGATACTGAGATTTTGTTTCTCCACTGTGATTAGGTTTCTGATTGCTACCTGTATATTTTAATTGACTGCACTGTTTCTCAACTCATTTGCTTTTCTGAGTCTCCTCAGCTGCATATACATCTTAATGATTGTAAAATACAATGTCAGTTGCTGTTGAATCTTGTTTTGCATCATGTGCACTTGTGAAGTAGTATGTTTATTATTCTTGTTTTTCTACATATTACAGTTCTAGGAGACAGTTGTAGAAAGGCCTTCCACTAGCAAAGTAAAACAACCCTTAAAGTAAGATAAGGAGAAGAGTAACTAGGATATCTAATAAAGCAATGAAGTGACATTTTTTGCAATTTTTTTTTTTTTTTTTTACGATTAAAGGCTTAATCTGATAAGGTGGCTTTGTTTCATGGCATCGGTTCAAAGCACTGCACCAAATTACTTTTGTTCCAATAAAGCCAAAATTAGGTAAATACTTAGCTCCTGATTCAGCAAAGGAGCCACAGTGATGAATCATGAAAAGATCACTAGACACTGGGACAAGAGGCTCTCCATCCAGAGTAATCTCTGATTTAGAAAAGGAAAGTACCGTATAGTGCTTTATTCCAATATGATTGCAACAAAAAGTGTGGTGAGACTGTAGTCTGGAAACTTTTAGTTATGTTGGCTGGTGCTGCCTGAAGTGTGAGCCCAGTGATGGGGAAGTGCATAGGAAGTCTTTAAATTGGTCAGTGTGAATCTTTCATCTAACGTATATCTATGCTTTCCTCTCTGAATTCTAGCACTTTAGTAGTATTCTATGTTGAAGTTAACCCGTGAACACCCAAACAGGAGACTTTCTTCTGTGCTAGTAACAGAAGGCATTTAGTGAAAGGGAGCTGTTTCTCTTCCCTCCACATGCTAGTTAGAGGGAAATGGTGAACTGCAACTTTCTTTGAGGTTAGGAGGCTGCTGGGATGTGTTGCTGTAGTTATGTTAGCTTCAAGGCATGTACTTATGATATTGATGACCTGCACATTGAAATCAAGGTAGCTACTGATTGACAAAAGAAAACATTTATCTAGAATAATGTGAAAAAGCTGATGTAGGAAATGTGTAGGGGTTTTTGCAAGCAATGACTACAATCTGTAACCTTTTGCCAGATCTGATGGGATAGTTAGAATTGGTTCCCATTGAAATACTGAGGTCAGCGCTCTTGTCTTGAGAAAGTAATTCTAAGCTATAAATTGATACTAAGGGAACTGTGCTGGAATTACTCCAATAATCTAGTGTCAAACTATTTAAAAAAAAAAAAATCAGGTAGATAATTTCTGTAAGTTAATTACTCAAGATAAATACGGCTTTTGTGTACTGATCTCTCAAATATGTGGAGAACTGCAAAATACCCAACCCAATAGAGCCGCTGATGTAATCATACTATACAGATCCTAGTTGCTTTGCTGGACTTCCATAACCTGGAAAAGCTGGCTTGGCTGTCTAAGATAGCTGGGGGGGGGGAGGGGGGCTGGGGAAGACAATGCAGGGAGGTTGTGCTGTGTGCATTGTTCCTATGCCTGGCTTGCTTCTATTGAAGCAGTCAAGAGACAGGTGACAGACACCTGCTTTTATTCTGTCACTTTGAAGAGAATGTTTTCCATCTGGGTCCTCCTTGTGTTCTACTCAGGCCCCTTTATCAGCTCCTAACAGAGCCTAATGGATATGTGAAACTGAGCTCTTAGAATTAAATGAAAGAAAAGATTTTCTCCAGGCACATAAAGAGAATGGAATTTTAGATCTTACAATTGCATTATCCTTTTCTAGGTATATGAGTATTCTTCAGACAAGTCATAAGACACTAGAGTCAAAATACCAAAATTACCTTACTTCAAAGAGCTGTTTGAGATTACTTATGTTTGAATTAACCATGGTCCTATGTATTTTTGGGTTTTTGAAAGTCCTAGTAACAAAAATAATATGGAAAGCAGTAATTGTAAGTTGAGTCACAAATCAGACTTAACTCTGTAGTTCTAGGTTTGGTAAATTCTTGGGAAACTAGAAAAAATGTTGGATCCTCTTCTGTGTGTAATTATCTAATGCTATCTAGACTGTACTGATTACAGAGGCTTTGACACTCTTGGCAGTTGATTTTTTTTCTTAAGCCAGTCTCCTAAGCTATCTCAAAACAGTAGCTAAAGCTCTTTGTTCTATGTTGGGGTGTTCCCACCCCACTCCCAAATTTCAAAAAATTGTGTAGTCCTGATGGTCACCTGACTATTTTCTTTCTCTCTAACCCCAGAATGAGTGAAGATTAGTAACCTTGCTCTTGCATGAAACAAATAGAACTTGAAGAGGGGTGGGTGTTAAAAGGTAGATATTAGGTGGTGTCTCTGGCACGTTTGTCACTGTTATGCACTTTACTGGTGGTAAATATGCCAAACTTACCCATACCTATTAATTCAAGAATGGAGTCTGCTAACAGTATTCTTCAGGTATATGAACACGATGAAGAAGAATGAAGCATTTAATCTGTAATTATTATTGACTGTTTCTCGTAAAATGTTCACAAAGCTTTCTGTTCATTACTAACCATGACTATTTCAAATACCAGGTTCCAATCTTGTTATCAGGCAAGCTTTTTAGAAAAATTTGCTTATAATCAGGATATTTCCTATAGTATATTGTCTTTACTTTTTTTGGTTAGGGGACTGAGACTGTTGGTAGGCTGAAAATTAGTACAAATTCATCAAATTTTAATGCCAAGAGCAAGTACAATAGCCCAATGCTAAGTACCCTTGACACAGTTTCCTGTGATTTGGGGTTTTTTAGGAGATGCTGAAAAGCCGTACTTGAATGTATGGATCTTTTCAATGCTTGGGTATATAGGAAAGGGAATACTATACTCGTAGTGCTAAAAGACAATATTTCTATCAAAAGCTGTAGTCACCTGAAGGACTGGTGATATTTAAGCAAAACTTACCTATGGGGATAAGCCTACTTTAATGTTTGCTCTGCCAGGTATCGTGTGCTATTAATCGGGCCAATGCCTACAGCCATGTTGATATAACTTTATGGATACTGAGTTCTGTGTTTTTTTTTAAATATAAATTCTGTTTCTGTGAAGGATTTTTCTGCCTTTTGGTCCAGAAATGTGGTTCTCAAACAGTTATGTGAAATACATATCAACCAAGCAGGTTTGATTGTCAGTGTTGTGACAAAGGCAAACAATGCTCGGAAATGCTCTTCCTTTGAGATTTGCAGTAGAATATAAAGTACTGTAGTCCAGCAGATCAATAAAATACTGTCAGGTCAGCTTGATTGATTGTGCCTAACCATATCTTCTCTTAATAAGGCCCAACTGTTGGTGAATTAAAACTTTTGAAGTCACCTCTAAGCTTTTGGCTTTTCAACTCTGGTGTAGTAGAACAAATTATGATGTGAAGACTAGACATTGATGAGATAATCCTTAGGGACAGCTGGTTGAAAGCAGTAAACTACTTTATGCAGAGTTTTTGATTAAAGAATTAGCTTTCCTGATGGGTAAGATTTGCTACTCTGCTGTTAAGCTGTTTGTTACAAGTTAGCTAGAGTGTTAAATACTTTTAACATGTTGTCTGGAACTTTTTCTGAAGTTGACTTATGCCACCTCACCGTAGACTGAAGGGGTAGCATTAATGCTTTAGTTACGTTGAATACAATGGTTATAATGATTAGTTCTTTGCAATCTGTTCTTGGAAAGTTTGAGTTTTTATTTCCTCTGGTTTGTCTTCTGTGTCTGTACTGTTTATCAGACTTTGTGGAAAGCTTTGGAGGAAAGTACAGTTTGCTTCAAATAAGAAAAGTTTGAATCATCTCACCTTAGATCATACAGATGCTAGAGTTGATGTTGGGAAAGTAGCTGAAGAGCAAGAGCTGCTCTAGCAGCTGAGTGTAGGGTGACTGGAACTGTAACACAGGCAGCACTCCAGAGAGGCACTTTCATGGCAGTTGGAGCTGGTGTAAATTGAACTGTTATAATCTTAAATGCATATTGGTTGCTTGTGTAGATAAGCAGCAAGCTGGTTCAAGCATCTGATCTGGCCCATGACACTTTCCACATGCACATTCATTTTAGTTAGTTCAATGCCTGGTCATACAGAGAGCTGATGTTGAGCTGCTACAATCCAGCCTAAAATGATCTGGGATGTAGGTATCATAAAATACCACTGAGTACTTGTTTGTGTCCAAATGCAAGTTGAGGTAAAGCTGAAAGGAAAATTGAGTGTCATTTAAGACAAAAGACAGTAGTTAAGCCTTGGCAATTGAATTGTCTGATGTTAATCTGTCACTGCTAGTGTTCACAATGGAGGGGGGCAGGTTTGTAGTGTATGAACTCCTTCAGGCACTGTTTTAGCCTATTAAACTTGTATTAAATTATACCCCTTTTTAGCCACTGAAGTATACACTTGGTAACAGAGGTGGTGTTTGAAAATGTGGCTCATGCAGGTTTGGAGAAGAACAGGTATACTCTTGTGTTACTGAAGTTAGGCTAATCCTGCCATATGCTCTGGTCATGTAAAACATTTTCAGGAGGTAATGTAGTAAGTAGAATTCTTAGAGCAGTTTATATGCTTATTCTGAGCCTTTCCTTACCCTGCCGCTTGCTTTCCTTCAGTGTATTAGCTGAGAAGTGTATCACTGAGTGTTCAGTAACAGTGTCTGGGGGGGAAAAACAAAACAACAACAAAAACCAACCAACCAAAAAAACCCAACCAACCAAAAAACAAACAACAAAAAACAAAAAAACCCAAACAAAACAAACAAAACCCAAATAACTGGAACAAACTGTACTACTGTTCCCAAAAAGCCCCTCAAAACAGATGGGACAAGTTGTGAGCTTACTTTAGCAAAAAAAAATACAGATGAGAAAAAAGAAAAGATACAGACAAGGAAGCTTGCATGATAGTAGTGTTCTGAGACTTTTAGCATTAAATTCAAACTATTTTATTTTGTTCTAGTAGCTTGCTAATGGTGAACTACTTTGCCTAGTTCCTGCAAATTAAGAATCATGTTAGGCTGGTTCCTACCCAAACTTCATGTACTCTTGTGAAATGTTTGGAGTTCAGTTCAGACTTATCAGTGTTGTGATTTCAGACTCTTTCCACACAGGGCTCTTATCCTTCAGAAATCATTCTAAACAACAGCAAAAAGATGTAGTAAATGATTGGCTTAAACCAAATTTATTTAGAATAGACTCCTGGCAAACTGCAGTGAAATGACTAACTGGCTTAGTATTGACTCGGCCTTCTGGCTTAAAGAATATTTTGATCCAGAAATCTGTGTTTTATTGATTCAGATGTTTTTATTAGTAATTTAATCTGAAGTCAAATGAGACATTTGTGTGTAAAATGTAACTCTAATCTGTTTTGATTTCCAGGCATCTTTTCTTACAAAGAAGCTAAATATTGGTGGGAAGAGAGTAAACCTTGCAATATGGGTATGTTTACTTTGCTGTCTTCCATCCCGTAGGTAAATAGACTATTTTCTGAAAAATTCCTTAGGTTTGCTAGAACTTGAATGTCAGGTGCTTCTTAACAAAGTAAAATTTCAAAGTGTTTGGAGTTTCTTCAAGTATTGTTTTGCATGGTCTGAAATGCTAACAAGTGTATTTTAAATGCAGGATACAGCTGGTCAGGAAAGATTTCATGCATTGGGGCCGATCTACTACAGGGATTCTAATGGCGCTATTCTAGTATATGATATAACAGATGAAGACTCTTTTCAAAAGGTACCGGACAGATTTTTACCTCTATGCGAGATGTAAACTGATTGAAAGATAATCTCTGAGTGTGTAAATGGAAATCTTCTGTTTTCAGCAATAGCAATACATATTACATCTGCAAATTCAGACCATATAATGGAAGCATGCGCCTTACTAGTATTCTTTCGAAGGTTGACTTTTTCAGTTTACTAAAGTTCTAGCAGGGTTATTCAAAAAGCACAGGATAAATAGATGTACGAATTACCTGTAACAGGCTATAAATGTAAACCAGTACGGTTGTGATAGTATCTGATACTGATCTCTACTGTATAAATTAAATTACTAAAAGATGTTAAGTGACATGATCTTTTACAGATCTGAGAACTCTGAAATTGCAATACATGATAGTGGAAACATTACTTTCTCAGTGATAATAGATATTTGTGCTTCAGATCCTCATCAAAACCTGAAATTCGATCGCTAATTGCTTTAGAGCAGTATTAGTTGATCAGTATGAGCAGGTAAGTTTTTTCCAACCCTGTGTTAAATCAGTGCTATCCCTGTTGGATGTTCCAGATAAGGAAAAGAGTGTTACCAGTTTCTAAGTGGGTTTGTTTCAGATAAGTTAGTGGCAAAATCTGTAGGACTTCTGCATAGAGTAAGAAATTGTGGTTGTATGGGCAAGGCTTGGGTTAGCAGTGATAGAAATAGTATAAGGGTATAGTTCCACAACAGCTTAAGTAATTTAAATAGTCTGATGTGGCAAGTGAAGCACTTATTCTAGCAGTTAAACTCTTGCCCCCCATCTGCAGAATTGTGATGACTTGAGTACTACTTCAGCTTTTGCTTTTTCATGCTGAGCTCTACTTAGTAAAATTCTATGATACCAAAACACCTAAATTCTCAGAAAAAAGAGGGAAGGTTACTTTGCAGAAGTTATTGCATAACTACCTCTATCATGTATCCTAGCTGGTTTTAGGTTCTTGAAGTGATTGCCTCTCTTCACGACTTAAATTCCTTTAAAATAGCAGTTTTCAAGTCAATGTAGTGATCATACAACTTAAAAGCATGACAACAGAGTTGATAACAGATACTTTATCAGCTGATTCAACACTCTTGTCCCATCTGTTCTCTCAGGCAACAAACATCTGTTATATTATAACCTGAACAAGTCAGTTCAGGTACCTCTACCTTTAAAGTACCATTTGTGATCTGTCAGTGCCTGTTGATAAAAGATCTCATGCCTGACCTAAAGTGGCCAATGCAGTGAACTTGTTCTTTGGAGTGGGGCTAACACGAGTGTGGTGAGTTATATTTCTGGAGTAATTGAATCATTTTATGTAAGTCCCTTGCCCTTAATTTCAGCTTCAAACTAAAACCTGCTGAACAAGAGCCATGTGTAGCTGTCTAAAGAATATTTTTGTCCATCTATATTGCTCTAAAAATACTTGTTTCAAGTTCAGAGTAAACAGTTAATGAAGGGAATGGGTCAGTTCTACAATGCCTAAGTTAGTTGTATATCAAGTGAAAATAAATTTACCCGTGTTCTTTTTGCAGGTAAAAAACTGGGTTAAGGAATTAAGGAAAATGTTGGGAAATGAAATCTGTTTATGTATAGTAGGTAAGTCTTGTTTTTAGTGTGATTCTAATAACTGAATCAAAAATGTTTCTTTTGATTAATAGCATTTTCCAAACACTGTTTTGACAGCTTGTACATGTGGAGGGGCAACGCTTATGTTAATTTGATATTTTAAGTTCAGTTTGAGCTAGAAGTTTCAGTAGATCACATTGAGGACATAAGAGTTTCAAAAAGCTGTTTAATGATGCACCATGTCAGAAGTGCATGGTACAGATGACGTCAAATCTGTATTATCCTTCTTGCAAGTACTCAAATGTCATGTTTTTTATTGTTCTCAGTAAAATGATGCCTGTCTGCTTTCATAATCAAGTGCTTGGCTAAGCGAATAAGTCTTAAAGGTTGAATATTTAAATACAAACAGAATGCAATAAATACTGGGTTTAGATTTAAAATCGGATATAGTGATTAAACCACTTTCAGAAGGATAGATGTGTAGATATTCTACAAAAACTACCTCTGCAGCACAGATAAGCTGCTAATAAATTACAAAGAAAAGCAGAAGGCTGAAAACATGGCTTATGTGGAGGTATTTAGCTATCCTGGTCTCTCCACAGAAGTGGAACTTCATTGTCTGTAAATGCTTGAGTGAAAGGGGATTTGTAAATCATATTGTTGTTGTATATAAGAGTTGTTTTTTACAGAGACAACTTGTGGGAAAATGATGGGGTACAATGATTACATGACTGTCTTCTTTTGGGTAACTTTGGAATACAAAGGCTTCAAAAATTATCTTGTTTCCAACAGGTAACAAAATAGACTTGGAAAAAGAGAGACATGTTTCAGTGCAAGAAGCAGAAACGTAAGTTACACCAATTATTAATAGAAACAGTCATTGCAGAATGATGCTGGAGTAATAAACTTGTGATGCTGTTAACAACTGGCAGGCATAAACTGGCAGTGCCTAGCTGGCTGCTATGTTAAGTGTTCTGTTAGTATCTGAGTCCTGGAATGTCCTTACTGACCAAAGTGTAACTTGAGAGTTGTATGTGATTAAAGTCAGCATTTGTACTTTAAATGTGTTTCTAGACAGGAAACTTTATTTCATCTAGTGTTTTTCATCAGTCATGGTAGTTTTAACCACATAATTCTCTTTTTAAATTAAATCAGCATGTGTAGTTTAACTCTGAACTCAGAACAAAACCTCTTGTGATAATCTTTTTGCTTCATGTAAAGTGGCTTAGGAAGATTGAATTGTTTAGTACAATGAAGTCCTGTATCTGCATTTCTACAGGTATGCTGAATCTGTTGGAGCAAAACATTATCATACTTCAGCTAAACAGAACAAAGGAATCGAAGAACTGTTTCTTGACCTGTGTAAAAGTAGGTATCTAGTTTGTTGGTAAGGAGCTTGTTCACAAAACACTCAAGACTTCAAAGTGCTTAAAAACATATGGAAAGCCTTAAACTTTTACTAAGAACTGACTTCTTACAAGTCTACCTTAAGGCACTTGTGTACTGTAGCAGCTATGGAAACTTGATGGATGGATGCTCATAACGTTGCAAATTCATGCTGTGCTCCAGAAATACCTTTGTTATTTGTTGGAGCACTGACTGTTTCACTGGGCCTGTCTAAATAGTAACCTCAAATCAAACTTCGTGACAGGCTTCACTAGTGTCTGCTTCAAATCCTGTATTTCAGCCTCTTTAAAAAATTTTCTCAGATTATGTCAATTACAAATCATGAAATCAGTGTTGTAATGATGCAGGTTTTACACAACAGTTTAAGCAAATGGCAGAGGTCATGGAATGTAGGATAAAACCCCAAGGAAGTTGTCCTATTCGTTGTGTTCTTATGATACAAGACTTTAAGCAAAACTTCACCTGCATGTTTGAAGAGTGGGTTGTGGGTTTTTTTTTTTGGATGTGGGGTGGTATGTGTGGTGTGTGGGGTTGCTTGTTTTCTTTTTAACTAAATATTCTTGATATGGGTGGGTAAATCTAGCTTTTGGAGCATCTAACGGCTCCCTTAGTCAACAGGAGTTGCTGGATGTTTAGTGCTTTAGGAATAAGACTTATGTATGTTCTTGCAGCTGTGCCATGTGGTACCTGAGTACTTCTGCATAACAAATAGGAGGACCAGTCTTGCTGAACTTTGTGCATGTAACTCAAATAGATAAAGATCTCAGTCTTGTGTAAAAATGCAGTGGAATGTCATCTAATATATTTCTTCCTTTACAGGAATGATAGAAACTGCTCAAGTGGATGAAAGAGCAAGAGGCAATGGTTCCAGTCAGTCAGGAATAGCAAGGCGAGGTGTACAGATCATTGATGATGAGCCACAAGTACAGAGCAGTGGAGGGTGCTGTTCTTCTGGATAATTATAAAACTGTGCATCACTGCCCTCTCAATCTGAAGACTGCCATATTCCAAGTCACGCATTCTTTACCAATGGAGTAATAGAATTAACAGTATTTAAAAATAATCACATGTAACACTGCAGAGACCTTAAGTGCTAAACTAGTGGCGTCTGTGACCAGAGAATTGGCATTTTCTACAGTGGTTAACAAAGCAATTACCAATGGCCTTTTTACATATTTTTCTTTAATAAGGAATAATATGCATGTAGAAAAGACCTACTTAAAGGCTTCATTTATATTCTTTTAAATCAGATCATTATTTAATAACTTATATACGTTGTTGTTGGAATGGTATACGTTTTTGCAGCTCTTTGTATTTTGTGGTAGATTGAATTGTATCACTTCTAAAATGCAAATTGATTTTTTTTTTTTTTTTTTTAATTAGCAGATATCCGAAGTAATATTTTTTGCAGGGCCTCCACAAGCCTTATAACTGTCAACTACTTTGATATATTCTGTTCATCCTGTATGCCAAGCTGGTAAAATACATTGTAAATTACATATTAAATACTTTATCTGCTTTTACAATTGCAGGTGCAGAAATATGTACATCAGTCTTGTCAGTGATTGTGAAGTGAGTAAGTCAGTGGAAGATACAAGCTTTTCATGTGTACTGTTGAATTGCTCATTCTGTTCCCCATACCTGAAAAAGCTTTTTTTGGGACATTCGTAGCTACAGCGTATTTTTTTTTGAGCTGTTTCTGGCAAGCAACAGTATTTAGAGTATCCCCTTAGTGGGAAGAGAATGCTTCCTTAGACTGCTGTTTAACATTGAGGTGTTTGACTCCCAGCTAAAACAGTTGGCGCATGCATATATCTTGCCTCTGCAGTTACTTTGGCCTCTCAGAATATTTCCAGAAAGTGAAAGCAACTTCAGCCCTCACCTGTCTGGTAGCCAGAAACCCAGATGCACAAGAAACTTAAGCTGCGTTAATACATTTGTGTCCCAAGACAGCATTATAAACTATTAATAAGCATTTTTTTTTTTACCCCTGTATTGCAGGGCTTGAGTGAACAAATGAATTTGCGTTAACTAGAACTGCTTCTGATTTGGAGTGATTAAATGGAAGCTATGAAACTTGCCAGCTGTAATTGTAACTTTGGGGATACTAGACAGAACTGAACTTACTCCTGACTTGCTCTTTCTCTTGTAAAGCGTTTTGAAGCCTACTTAAGTTTGGGGAGGAGAGTTTTCAGAAAAAGTGTATAAACTACTATCACAAAGGAACAGAAATGGTGGTAGCTGAAACTTCAACATGTTTTGTGCTCTGACTTTTTTTTACTTAAGTTGTCATGCTTGGAAAAACAGTAAAGGTGATGTCTATGACAAAATAGAATATTCCTTGGCCTTCCTTTTTCTGAAGGGTAGAATTAGTATTGCATATGAATGCATTGAATGGTGTGGTATGCACAAAAGGAATAGTAGTAACTAATCAGACTGTGTAAGAAGTGTGCTGTCTTCAGTCTGACTTTTTATTTTCTCTGAAATAATAGATGGCTTTGATACAGACTGGTCCTGGTACATTTTTTCCTTTTCTGCTTAAACTGTGGTGTAGATACTTTCTCTTAAGTTACCGTTGCTGTGATCTGATGTGATTGTGTGGATGATGGACAAAGGTGATCTGTCCATGCTAGTGAAGATAGTTTCTTGATTGCATAGAGCTTTGGTGTGAATCTAAAATTCATGATTAAATGTGTCTATATATATAGCAAACCCATTACATTAACATTCTGATATTATATTGAACTTAACAGTGAGCCTTGCCAAATTTGAAAAATGGGTCAGTTTGATCTAAAACCAGTACCTTCAAATCCATACAGTTAGATGAAAACCAGTCTTCTAAGTGATAATATTGATATGGTGATTGAAATCGGCAAGACTTTATGTTCAAGACTGGAATCTCCTCATAAAAGGAGTCCTAGATTCTTTGATTCAAATCAAATTTTTTCCAGAGATGGAAAAAAACAACCAAACAACCGAACCTAAACTAGTCTTGATAAACAGATGAGTCATGGGGGCTTACCTACACCAGAGCATATGTGTTTTCAAGAGCAGAGCTTTCTCCATTGAAGTGGACAGATGCAATTCTGTTCTGGAAATTAGTACTAGGTGTTTACCCAAGAGAATGTTATGTTTGACTGCTTTGAAACAGAAGCAGTGTGTAGAATATATCTCTTTGCCTGCAGCTAAAGAGTTTTTCTTTAGTGTATTCTGTGGTAGGGGTGTTCTGTGTGACTTGATTACAAAACTAACAAAGCCATGTTGATACTAACTCTTGAGTCTCTTTCAAAACTAAAACTATTACTACTGATGACTTTGGGGTAAGGAAACTTACAATTTTGTACAACCAAAAGGTTCTGGTTGCTATTAGCAAAATACTTCCTAAAATAAAATCTGAGAAGTTACGTTTCTTGCATAAGCTACAGCATGAAGAATACTCTCTGGAAACCTGCCAGTCTAAGCTGCAGCTTGGTTGGACTTGATTTATGGAACTTAAAACCTGTGCTTAGCAGAGTATCATTGTATTACCTTACAAAAGTAGTATAGTGTCGTGAAGTCAGGGAAGTTGGTTTCCAAGACCAAAGCAAAACCATTATGAATTGTTTAGACTGATTAACATAAGACTTCAACTTTTTATTATTAGCAGACAAAACAGTTCCAGGAAAAAAGCAGCTTTATTGAAGTTATATAGAGTGTTCTTTGCATTAAATATATAGGAAGGCACAGATAGCTTGTTTTTTCTATATTTGAGCAGGATCTTACTCAAGTAACTTGGTATTACTACTTTATGGCTTTCTCAAGAGTCTTGCATTTGCTGCAGTCTATCCAGATTGCCTGGTTTGTGTATCTTAAGGAAAACTGTTTTTTTTCTTGTGAACTTCTGTTGCTGAAAACAAATAAGCTGTTTTTCATTGTTCTGAGAAGAGTGCAAGAGAACAACTGTGTTTAGAAAGTACTTCTATTGCGAGATAAATAGAATCACCTGGATGTCTTATGTGATGCAGAAGGTAACATTGAGCACGCTTCCCCAGAGTAAATTTTGACAAAGATTATACTATAATAAAAAAGGTCTAACTTACTACAAATACCTTTCTAAAACAACTTTAAGTATTTGCTCACAGTCTTGGTGCTGCTGCTATGAATACTTGACCTACCTATGAAACTTGATCACTTGCTGAAATAAAATCTAACAAAATGAAGTCCAAATGCTTTAATGCAGCAGTACGCATCTCCTAATAGGAGTTATTTATGGACACTGCTTTACTGCACCTAGACTATAGTTCAGCAATTATAAAAGACCAGATAGAAGGATTCAAACAAGGACACTAATAAGTTCAGATGTGTAGTACTTGGAGATGAGTGTATCTATCTGTAAAGATTGGAGGTGATGAATTCATCTGGTTTGCAGTGAACTTGCATATGGTTCCAAGATGGGGACATCCACTGTCCAGATGAACTGTATTGGCTGGTCTTTTGAAGCAGTCAAGTAATTGAGTGTTGCCTTGATTACATGCTTTTCTTCTGTGTTCACACCTTGTGGACAAATGTTCTTGCATTAAAATGTATCCCTTAGCCCTTTTTATCTTGCCACTTTTATTCAATGTGTTTAACTAGTATCTCTGCTTACAGCTCTTGAAGAACCTAGTAACTCAATTTCTAATTTAGATTCCAAGCCAGATGAAAAAAAGCTTTGCAAAAAGGTATGAGGTCATGGAAGGTGGTTGGAGCTCAAATGGAGTTCTCTGACAATGTTGGATGCTGTCAGAAAAAATGGTTTAAAGAATGTAAGAGGAATGGGACACCTGCTCGAGGACAAATGGAGGTCAGGAATCTCAGCAAGCTGAAGGCAATTAAGTGGTATAAATGATAGAGTGGGGGAATAAGAGCTGAAGCCAGTCACCTCTGTTTTTCTGCTTTTTGTGGAAGGAAAATGAGAAGTAGAAAGAAAAAGGCAAGTAGGAAGAACTGAATGTGCTGGTAAAACTGAATGTGCTGGTAGTGGGCTGCTGAGTGAGGTACTGAGTTAACCATTTCTTGGTGGCATTGCTAGCATGTTCTCTCAGCAATGGTAGTTGTCTAATTGAAGACTTTACCAAGACGACTTCCTAGGTTGTTTTTACTTACGTGAAACACCACTTCTGCTTCACTAGGGAGGATATAACTAACTTCCAATAGGCTTTCAGACACAGTACTAACCTACTTAAAACTTGATTAGAATATTCTAATTTGAGCTATTTACAGTTAACGGACTTGGTTAATCTTAGTTTGCATCAAAGCTGAGGAACTTTTTTCCTAGCAAGTCAGGAAGTACATCTAGCAGTGAGGGTAACTTTTATTACAGCTGTGTCAAGGAATTGCAGATGAAGACTGAGATCCTTGGCATTAGTTACTGCACAAGCTCAACAAAGCCCCAAAACTAGCTCTCAACTGTGCTGGGCATTTGCTCCTGCTAGTCTTTGGGGGGATTCTGCTCAACACTGGGACAAACTTGTGCATCTTGGTGATGTAGGCCTCTAATGAATTCATGCTTTTTCTATCAAATAATAACCATGTACTCTGTTCCCTATTGCATTTTTGGAGCTGTCATTGGCCACTGTATCGAGCAGAATGAGGTGGAAAAACTGATTTGAGAGTTGTGGAGAATCTGGAATGTTTCTTGGCTTCAGATGGCTTGAAAAGTGAGAATCTATGAAACTGTCACCATTATGACAAAGGTATTAGTCTGTCCAAGATAACTGAAAATATTTTGGCTTGGAGAAAGTTTTATTGTGGTCTGAATAAAAAGATAAATTGCTCTACTTCCAAAATCAAAATTTAGTTCAATACCAGGATGTTGAAAGATAGACTGCAAAAATAATTGTTTCCATCTATTCCACTGCTTTGTGCACTTGGGCAAGCAGCATGACCCGATGCAGCTGCAGAGTGAGTGTGAAAAGAGGGCCTCTGTCCCTCTCTTCCTGCTTGTTGGCTGCACTGATCCTCAATGCTAATTAATTACTACTACAGGAAACTTTCTGTGCTGGAGATTCCCCATACAAGAAAGGAAACATATATGTTCCCTGCTTGCTTCTCTAGCTTTTCTACACAATGATTAGTACAGCAGTAATACCCCGTTCCCCTCAGTTTGAGAACATTGTTTTTTCTTAAGAGGAGCTTATTTCTTGACAAGTCTTTTTTCGGTGTATCTAATCTCACTGATCTCTTCCAAGGTGCTTTAATACTTCACTGTAGGTCACCCAGAAGCAATGCAATTTGAAAATGTGACAATGAAAGATAATGGGTAGCAGTATTGCAACAATTTTCCCCAGCAATTATTCATATCCTGCCTCCAAACCAGTGAAGGGAGAATATTGGAAGTTTAATGGTGAGTCCTTGCTACCTCTGGTACCTGACTCCTGATTCTAGGATATTGGATTTGGTTTAGAAGAAATCCAAATCGAGAGGATTGGAGAGAGCAAGGACTACTTTCTGATCTGTTGCCAAGTAGTTGATATCCTGTGATGCCTCCAAACTCATGTAATAGATCTCTTTCAAGCTGTTGAAGAAGAGCCTGCAGTTTAACAGTTTCAAGTTAACCACTCCATTCTGAAAGGTCAACAAATTTGGGACTCACAGTGGAAGAGAACAAGGAGTTTCTCTTTTTCAGAACAGGAAACTTAAGAAAGTGCCTAATCAGGCTTTTCTTAATGCAAACATAAGAGGAAAGCAATTGATACCTAAAGATTTAAGTGCTGTCAGTGCTATTTGATCATACAGGCATTATAATGATTGTCTTACTGGATTTTTCTCATCAGATAAACTCATTGAGCTTATCAGGCTCAATCAACAAGAATACTTTTCTTTGAAACAAGAGAAGATGTTAGCAGGGCAAAAGCCAACACTGAAAAGGACATAGCATTTTTAATATCGGTTAACTTGACATTGTCAAATGTAGGAATTTTCTATTTGGCATTTATGGATAAATGAAATTTGGGACAGAAAAAAAAAAAAAGGTTTGTGAAGCCTTTGCTAAATACTTAAGTTTCCCAGTGCATTGCTGCTGCTGGCGTTTTAAAATACACCTTAGAGTATTTTATATACCAGTGCATTTGCATGAGATAGTTCTGTGAAAAATTAATTCCAAATGATAATTAATTAGGGAAACAAGAACTTCTTTGGCATGACTTATTCTATCAGTGCTTAATATTAAGAGTGAAAATGCATGTAAGTGGAAATGGATCAATAGAAAGGGGGAAAAAAGTGTACTGAAAACCAATAAAAGAAAACAGAGCTGGAAGTTCTTGTATCAATTTTCAGATATGACGGTAACGTCTTACATTTTAGTAAGTCATAGAATTTGTAACTTGATGAACAGTCTGTAATAAAGTGTCCCTGAAAATTATTGGAGGTTTGGGGCAGTGGCCTGGCTTACTGCAGTCTCAGCTTTTACCAAATATCATTGTACGTTACAAATACAATAACAAGCTTCTGAACCCATCTGAGTATGATGTGATGAAAGATGGGTTTAAGATGCAAAACCAGGCTCAGTGAGGTTGCTCTACATTATGCGAGCATATACCCCAGACTGTAATGTGAGCAGGGACCCATCAAAATGCAGCTTTGATTCTATAAAACTGGTCTTTGGCAGCCCAGAACAGTTCATGAGGAAGAAGCAGTTGCTGTTGAACCACGTTTGCCAGTTTAATGATAGCCTGCAGCACACAGCCTGTATGCGAAGGGAGCAACAAAAACAAGTCAGACATGGAATCAAGGCTCAAGGTTCTGGGAATTCTCCACCAATTATGTGTTTGTATCCTACTGGTGTCCTAACTCCACAGTGAATGTTTGTGCGTACTTCTTTAGTGAAAAATGGGGTTCAGCTGATGCTGTGGATTTGTACTGAATGGACACTGAGTGAAAACAGCAAGCAACAGAAAGAGCAGAGCAAGGTAAGAGGAGTTCACGCAGTTCCTGCTTTTACTGTTCTTAGATATTTCACTTGCATTTTTAAAAAAGTTAGTATCTATAGCCTACTATCTGTGTCAGAAAGTGTAGTTTCTATTTGGTGAGAATTTTTTGGTCAAGAAAGTAGTATCTTAAGAGCTTTTTATAGTAAATACAGCTCCTACACAGGTTTAGTCTTTCCAAAGTTTGTCACCATCTCATTAAAGGAACTATATTAAATGTTGAAGAGCAAGTGTGCTGCCTGTAGTTACACCCTGCAATCGGAGTCCTATGGTGAATGTTTCAAATATCAAGAAGCAGCAAAGTACCAAATGCACCTCTGCCTGTCTAATCCCACTGTTTTGTGACGTGTACTAATTACAAAGCCATCCTCAACTGTAAGATGTGCCCATAGTGGTTAGAGAAGTCGGTTTGAGGCTTAAAATGACATGAAAGTGTACTTTGATTGGAGCCTTCAAGGAATCTTGACCATCCTTTCAATATGTGAATTTTTGGCACCATGGGACACAGTTTATTTTTCAGGGACTTGGGGGTTTCTGCTTATATGGGAAACAGAACGATCTCTGAAGTAGATTATGATGGCAAGTAAAGAGAAGGAAGGAAGTATTGTGTTAGCGACCTAGACCCATCCTTAGCACTGCTTTTTGAACGGCTGGGATGAAATACAGCATTGACTACCCCCACCCTAGAACAATTCTTTCATTAGTTTCCTGCTCTTTCCAGGAAATGTTGCTTGTTGGTGGTGTTGTAATGCATATGTAGAAGTGATGGGGTTACTACTATTTGCCTTTGCTTTCTGCATTCCTTGCTCTGGCAATACTAGTCTGTGCCAATCGGCAAACAACAGATCAGTTTCTGTTTAGTCATCACTCTCGGATAGCTTCCAGCTAGTCTCAGTAGAGGCTGATGCAATCATGAATCTCTCCTTGCATGACAAATGCAGAGCATTTCATGTCGGTATCTCTCTGCTTCTTTTATATTTGAAAAAAGCTTCTTGTCCTGCTGAGAGAACAAAGCTATTGTAAATTTGTGATCAGTTGTACCAATTGTAATGTTTTCTTATGAGAAATCTTGTATGTTTTGGGTTGTTTCATATTCTGAAATTCTATTAATACTTGATAAAAAGTACCAGGTTCACAGACAGGAACTCACGGCTGTGGGTATGGATATACAAAATGTGACATAGTACAAATACTTGAAGCAAGCTCATCGTCCAGTGTACTGCCTTCATGTCTTGTTACATCTCCATGCCTTCACACTCTAAATACAAATAAATGCTGCTGGGGAATGGGTTTTCCTTCATTTTAATTTCAGTCTGTGTGTACTTAATTTCTTTGTTCCTATTCTTGTCTGACCTTGTGGCAGAAAGCAGCCAAGCGTGGAACATTACCTGCATGCTTTACTTGTGCAGGTTAGGTTTTTTTAACTTAGAGGAACAGGTTCAAAAGACTCCTATCTTAATTTCTCAGTTTCTACATTGAGGTAGAGACAACTAGTGAGTAGAGAAAATCTTAATTGGTTGCAGAGGCTACATTTTTACTGGCAAATAAATTAGGCCGGGGTGCATAAGGAGCACTGGCCTCCAGAGCAACTGGCACAGTACAGCTTTCATCCAGTTAGTTATCTTCTGCCCTTTAAATCATATTTATGTGCTGCTTGCTTGGAGTGGCTGTGCTGTTCCCCATGCTGTGTCTAGGTATTAGTCTGAGACACCTTAAATGCTATAAAAGAGCATGCTAATGATTAAACATCAAGGCTGACTGTAGGTCAGTACCTCAGGCTTACCTGGTTGACTTGAATGGATGTAGCCAGAGCCTGATCTCCTTGCTCTCCTAAACGTGGAGTGGGACAGGAGGATTCTTTTTTTACCTTTTCCTCTTATATGTGGAAAACAAGAGCATCTGACAACTAAATCCTGGGACACCTCCTTTGTTGTCTAGAATAAAATTCACACTGGGGACTGGTACCTCTTAGAGTATGAGGAACTCAAGAGAAGCCTGGTCTGCAGCTTCCTCCTGGATGTCCTGCTGCACCCAGAGTCCAGGACAACACCCCATTTACTGTCTGCTCATGATCTGTGATAAACTGGCACAGCCTGGAAAAACGGTGGGTTGCATCTGTCAAAGCAAGGCTTGGAAATATATTGATTTCCTGTGATGAGAAATAAAGGTCAAAGGGAAGGATATTTTTGGCACTGTTTATCTTTCCTTTGTTGTGGTGTTTTTGTTGGTACAAATTAAGCCTGTGGTGGAAGGACTTGACAGAATCTGCATTTGTCTTGTGTGGGACAGGTTTTCATGTGGTTGAGCACATGGCCAGCTGACACTTGTGACTACAGGAATGGATCTTGGAACTGTTGAAATAACTGTGTGAACAATGACAGCAGCTGCTGCAGCTCTTGGCATAGCCATAATAGCTATGCTTGCAGCTGTGACAGCAACAGAAACCACAGGAAAGCCAGGAACGCTTTCTGGCTGCACGCTCAGTGCTATCTGGGGTGCTGTGACTACCTTAATGTGGCAGAAGATTCCTTATTAGAGCAAATGGCTACTAAAAATCCAAGTGAGCCACCAAGCTGAAGATACCATCCATCTTAGATTCCCATCTGTGTACCGTGTGAGGGGTTGGACTTGAGCATTGAGCTACAGCCTGCCCCAATGTCTCCTTAATGGGTTTATGGAGAAGGGAGAGGAACCTGCTAGCGCTGTGTCAGCCTGTGGAGCTTAATGTGTGCCATTCAGGTTTGTAAACCTGAAATAATGTAATGTACCAGTACAGGCTGGGGACTGACTGGCTGGATAGCAGCTTTGCACAGGAGGAGCTGGTGCACAAGTTGGTGATGAGCCAGCAAAGGCAGCCGCTGGCATCCTGGGATGCATCGGGAAGGGCAGTGCCAGCGGGCTCAGGGAGGTGATCCTTCCCCTCAGCCCTGGTAGGAGACTTTTGGAGTGCTGTGTCTAGCACTGCTCCCCAGTACTACAGAGACATGGACAACCTGGAACAAGGTCTGTGGAGGATTATCAAAGATGATTAGGAGACTGGACCATCTGTCATAGAGGCTGACAGAGCTGGGACTGTTCAGTCTCAAGAAGGCTCAGAGGAGGATCTTGACAACATTTAAAAATACATTATGAGAGGGAGTAAAGAAGGTGGAGCTGGTCTGTTCAGTGGAAGGACAAGATTAAATGGACATAAGCTGAAATACAAGAAATTCCATTTAAGCATAAGGAAAAACTCTTTCACAGCAAAAGTGGCCAAACACTGGAACAGCTTAACTGAGGAGGTTGTGGTGTTTCTATGCTTGGAGATACTCAAAACTCAAACTGGACAAGGCCCTGAGCAATCTGATCTGCTCAGCTAATCTGTTCTGGGCAGGAGGGTTGGACTAGATGCTCTCTAAAGCTTCTTGACAACATCAACCTTTCTGTGATCCTGGGATATTGCAACCTGATAGCAGAAGGTCGTTTTGCTCTCCATCTTGAATAACGGTATACTCATTGTTATGCAATGATGGTTTGCAAAAGAGCAGGGGAGAAGGGCCCAAGAGGGCTGTTGAGTAGATTGGGTAATTGGCTAGAAGGTGGTCATGTATCTTGTCGAGTAAATTGGTCTGTGGGACTGTGAGCTCTCTGAAACACTCCTGCCTTCTTGACATTGAGGCAAGTGGCGACTGGCATGCTGAGGGCAGCGCGGTAGGACGGGAGATCTGGAAGTGTCCTGTGGGACCTGTTGATCATTCACTGAAGAAACTTGGAGCAGAAACTCCTGTCCTATGTTTGGTGGAAGGAGAAGGGAGCTGCACTGAGCACATCTCCCTCAAGGGAAAGAAAAGTCTCAGTCTTAGGCCTGAGAAGTGTCAAGCTTGACTTTAAGGCACCTCTGAGAAAAGACTTACCTGGGAAACAAAAAGGAAAAGCCTGGCTGTTGTGTGAGAGCTACCACTTAACACTAATTACAAACTCAGGTGTAATTCAGTGGGACTGATACCTGTGTTTGGGACTAAAGCATCCTTCCTGAGGACTGGGGTGGCCTTAAAGCCAGATAAGAAACAACTGTGTTGCATTTTAATGCTTTAAATAAATTTCAAGTTTAAGACTTTACACACGTACTCTGGTACTGCATATTCCAGTGATGTTTTCCAATAAAATTTTACTAATTTTGGAGATGTAAGCATTAACTGATGTCCAGCAGTCAAAAAAATGTGAATTATCTTTTAATTCTTTACTTATTTGACAGCTCCTTCAGGTAATGCTGTGCTGCTCCCTGTTCTGGTTGCACAAGAGTGAAAGTGTTTCATCGCAGGCTTGTTTCATAGCCTTTGAATGTTATCTTTTTCTCTGCTATGGTGCTTCTTGAGAAATTCTTGGGATTTAAAGCTTTAAAATACCTTTATTTAAAGATAAATGTTATGTTTCTAACCACTCTTCCATTGACATGCAATGTTTCTCGGTAAATCTATTTTTCAGAATTACTTATATGTTGCTTTTGCAGTGTACCTATATATTTGGAAAATGATGGGCCCACCTGCATGGACATTTTAAAGTCTATGTTTGAAGACTGCAGGAGCTTCTTTCTCATTCTAGTCTCTTTCTTTTGAACTGCATATTGAGTAGGGCTGGAACAAATCTAGATCCAGAGACTGGGAATGTTTTAAACGTAGGGGTTTAGTCAGGTTATTGTTTTTCTGTGTTTTTTGCTCAAGGCTTATCCAGAACTCTGTGATGCTTCTATAAGCACTCAGGTTCCATTGAACTTCAAGAATGTTCAAGTATTTGTTGGTCAATGTTTTTGTTTTGTTTAGTTTTTTTTTTAATTGTACCTTTCTTGTACCTCTTGTTTTCTCCAAGTCTAGTTTCCAGAGCTCCAGTTGCTGCTTCTCTTAAGAAATAATGGAGGATAGTTTTGTGTCTCTGGTCAGATTTTGAGCTGCAACTCCCTAGTACAAACACTGATCATCTTAGCACAGGTCTGGCAATGATAACCAGTCCCAGCAAATTAAGTAATCTTTATCTAGATGAAAATGTTTAAGAAAAACAGTCTAGAAATAGTTCACCATTTCCTGGATATTTTCACAGCTCCATCTCTCAAATTTATTCCGAGTTTTCCCCGTGTTAGCCTGTCCCCTGCTAAGTGATCTTTTTCTCCCCTCTTTCTTCTGAAGAGCACTTTTGTCATTGTTTTGAGTTGTAGTTCCATGTTTGGTAAAGCAGCTCTGATTTTGTGTATAGATACATAAATGCATTGTGTTAAACCCCTTCTCCCCTCACAAGGGGTGTACAGTAGCTGTTCCTCACTGCTCACAGCTTACATCGAGTCTGCATCTTCGTATTCTCCAGTTCCCACTCAGTGTTTCTATTCCCAGTGAGTGCCCATACAAAACAAATACAGAAATGCTGGAAGCTTGAGGGAAGATGCATTGAGGAGCACAGGTTAGCATTCCGTGAGCTTACAGAGACACTGGTATTAACTGTTAATTAGCATGTTTTTAGCAATAAAAACACTGAAAGAAGAGACTTTTAGTGTAGTAGTAATACTGTAGTACCTTAAAAATCTCATAAAGGAACAAGAGCCTGCTGTGCTAGATTCTTTAGCTTGATCTATAACTTAGGTAAATAAGTGAATTTGAAGGGCAGTCTCTTGAACTGTCTTTACCTTAAATGTCTAGGTTTGTTGAAAAGCAGCCATTAACCCTCATCACATCAGCAATAAACAAGATTTTTGAACCATCCTCAGCGGAGAAAATGGAAATCACTTGTCTTCCTCAGGGCAGGATTTTCTGTAAGCATGTTATACTAAACATGTCTCTAACCCCTGCACAGTGATTTTGTTCCGTCTTTCAGTCCTTCAGCTGTGAATAATGCTTCTTAGCTGATTGCAGGGTGCCTTTGCACTTGTGTTCCACAGTTTGATAAGGTCATATGGTCTGTCACAAAGCAAAAGTGACTGAGCAATCTGACCCAACTACTAAATTTGTCCTGCTTTGAGGAACGAGGTGGACCAGATGACATATAAAAATTCCTTCCAACCTAAACAGTCTTATGATCATATGAAAAATTAAGGACCCTATCCAGTCCCACTTGACAATCAAAGAATAGGTAAGAAACAACACATGGATGCAGACAGATAGAATAGATAAGCAAACAAGGAGACTATGGGTCAACAGCATCATCGGTGGTTTTAGTTCATCAACCACCTACTTAATACCAATTTTGGGGGTACCTTTTCTAGCAAAAGTGAGGACAGGATTTAAAGAATGAGAGAGCTTGGTGTACTCCTAAAGGAGTTTTTCCCCTCAAAGAAGGTCAGGTTGAAGAAAAAGCCTTTCACGCAATTTCTTGTGTGAAAAATTTACAAGTAAGAGACAGAGTCTAGCACTGAGTTGACTTGATGTGGAAGCTAGACCTTTGGCAGTGAGTGGGAGGTAACCATCCTCAAAATGAGGAAGGGCATTTTATGTTGGGCCTTAGAGAAGGGTGAGAGTTGGTAGGTGGACAGGAGGAGCTAGATGAGAGGGTTCAAGTGATGTGGGCTAGATGAATGATCTTTGCAAAAGCATTATCCAGGAATCTGAACAGATAAAAATGGTGTCAGTCAGTGTCTGCAAACAGAATGTTACAAGAAAAAAATTGTTTAGCTGTGTGAATAGACAGGTAGAGCTATGCTTTGATGCTGTTGTACAAGAAAAAGTCTGAAAGGGAGCTAGTTTTAATGTGAAAGATAGAATCCATAGAGATATCAAAGACTGAGGCCTCAACCAGGCTGTAGGCCTTGGAGACAGATGGATATTGATGTTGAAAAGATCAGTCCTAAGAGAATCTGGAGGGAGATAGAACCATCTTGTCCATTAACTGCCTGCAGATGATGATAAAAAAATATTTTTGGATCAGGATTAATTGCTGTAGTAGAAATGAAGTGGTGAGTCATGAGATAAATATGTATTTGACACAATTACCTACGAAGAGAGGGAGGCTTTGACTGAATACTCTAATGATCAAATCCAAGACTTAAAAGAACTAGGAGGAGGCAATCATGCTAGTGAAGAGAGCACACTTCAAGGAGTTCATTGTAGATTGTGATATAGGCTAATGAAGCTGAGATGGGAATCTTAATTCTGAGCTTCTAGGAAAGGACCTTTGAAAGAAACCTTGACAAAGAGGTTTCACGGGAGGGCCAGAATGAGAGTATGCAGTGGAGCTAAACGAAGGGAGTCCCCAGTGTTCATTGTGGACTTCAGGGACCTGAGAGATGAAAAGGAAGTGGAGAGAGGAGTGGGACTATACGTGGGTGTGTAACTAATGTACAGTTATATTGCAAGGAGAAAGAAATAAAAGAAAATGGTAAGAAAGGGAAAGGATGAAAATGAACACATGGAAGACCAAACAAGGTGAAATGGGTGTGGAAGATGGCAATAACAATTTCATGACTCAAAGCAATTCATTTAGGGTGATGCATTTTTAATGTGTAGCGTTCTTTCTTGAATTCAGTGTAACACTCAGTTATGCTCTTACTAAATTCAAAGGAAGGGATCACTAAAGCTGTGGTGTCCATTTTTGCTATGCCCATACAGCTTTCCAGACCTAGATATTACTACAAGGACTCGTGTCTGACTGTGGTTTTATTTTGTCATCTTTATCCATGTTTATACACAGAAAGTCACAACCAGCTCTCATGACTTTGAAGCAAATCAGTATTTGTCTTGAGAACTGCAAATCTGGTTTTCCATGGTAAAAAGTACAATATGGGTGTTAATCTAACCAAAAGAGCTTTTAACATGAGAAGTCAGAAACCAATTATAATGCCATGTTGTGACAGAGACAAAAAAAAAAAAAAAAAAAACAAAACAAACAACAAAACTTTTGCTTCTTCAGAGTAGCAAATCACTTCCCTGTGAGCATCTCATTCATCTGTTTCAGATAAACAATATTTGGGGACATACTAGTAGCTCAAAATATTTTGAAGTGTTGGAATCTAACATGTCTGTCTTTATGGCTTTCAGCAGGATCAAATGTTGAAGAAATTAGGTGAAAGCTATTTTTTAAAAAAGTAATACCACACATTGTATGCTTTTCCAGGTAAAGACCAATCAAAACCTGTTGCCATCTGTAGAATTCTTTCAGACTTTACAAATCTTTACGTGTATGACTGATGAATAGTTGCTAACATGGATGAGGTTGTAATTAAGATTTGACTTCATCCCGTGATTAATATTAATGTGTTATGTGTTGAAAGCCATCTTCCTGAAAGCGGTGTGATTTTTACCAACAGTAAAGATCGGGGCAGCTTAATGGTGCTTATGGGTCCCTATTTCCTTGGTATTTACCATACACAACAGCAGGAAGAGAAAGGAAACAACTGGGAGGAATACGCTGGGTGTTTTCTATCATACTTTCAACAGTCTTCAAATTGTAATTACAGTAGCAGGTAGCTCAGAAAAAGCTTTAAGCATGAGAAAAATAAAATTAAAAAATCCCTTCTTTTCCTTGCTGCCATACTTGCACGATCTGCCTCGGTCACCGTTCCCCTCGCTGTGGAGGCCGAGCAGGGCTCCACGCCGGCCCACGGGCAGGTGGGCTATCCTGCCGTGCCGCTGCTGGCTGGACAAGGCTGCAGCGAAACTTTTTTTTTTTTTTTTTTTTTTTTTTTCGCGGTCCCCTTACCCCTCCATGACGCCCTTGTAAACCTTCGCGCGGGGGTAACGGGCAGCGCGACGCCCAGCCAAGGCCGGGCCGCAGGCCGCGGTCTCGCAGGGAGCTGCGTGCGAGGGATTCAGAAGAATAAAGACGACCGTGGGAAAAAAAAAAAAAAAAGAAACAAACCTGGTATTTTCACCTCTTTCCCGGAGGCGCCCTCTGAACGGCAGAGGCGCTCGCCGCCCTCAGAGGCCGGCGGGGGCGGGGCTCTCCGGCCCCGCCCTCTAGTGACGTAGCCCCGCTTCCCCCCCGCACTCCCCCGGGCCCGGCAGTGTCCCGCGGGGCCGTGGCGCCGTTCGCAGCCCCGGCGGCCGGCCGGGACGTGTCCGCACGTAGCGCGCCTGCGCCGCGGCGGAGCCGAGCGGGGCGTGGCGTGCAGCGGCCGGGGAGCACGTGAAGAGCGCAACGTCATCATAAACACTCGTCGGCAACATGGCGGCGCCTCCGAGCGGCAAGGTAACGGGGGCGGGCGGGCCCGGACGGCGGCTGTTGTTGTCTCTTTCCCCGGGGCGGGGGTCGCTCCGGTTGGCGGGAGCCGCGGGAAGGGGCAGCCGCGTCTTTCCTCCGGCCGCGGGCCCTCCCACCTCTCGGGCGGGCCTGGGGCTGGCGGGAGGCCCCGGGCCCTCGGCGCCGCTCTGTGCGGGGCGCGGGAGGGGGTGGCGGCTGGGGCCTGGGCCCTGGAGTGTTGCGGCTCCCACCGCCCGGCCCGGGTCCCTCCGTCGCCTCAGGGCCGCCGCGCCGGCCGCGGCGGCGGAGGAGGCCGCGCTCCGGCGGAGGCGGGCAGCCCCGCGGCCGGGGGTTGTTCCACCGCGGGGCGGGCGCTGAGGCTGAGGAACGGGGCTTGTCCCGGGTACGTGGCCGCCTGCCCCACAGGCGCCCCTGGACTTTCCTGTCTTTTCTCCTGGCCTGCGCGCTGGTTGTGCGGGTGCCTGCCCCGGGGTGCATACAAAGCCTGGTCAGTTGGAGAATGGGGCGACGTAAAGATTCTTCTGTGCCGCTGGTCCTTGCCGAGTGCTCTTGAGTGGAACAGCAGAGCTTGACAGGGATTCAGATGTCTGCCGTGCTTTGAGGTCACGAGAGGGAAGGTATTGGCAGCTCTCTCTGCCTCGCTCTTACCCCACCAACAGATTTGAGTTGTGCTCATATGGTCTTATTGTAGAAATACTATTATTCTGTGACTGTCTTCTGAAAGTGTTACTTGGGAATGCTGGGCCGCTGAGCTTGTGGATCCTTTATCTAGGATTTAAAATTTCAGCATAGCGTCTGACTGTACGTAGCCAGGGTTAGAGTGTGATAGTTTTCCGTTTCACTCTCTCAGTGCACGACAGTAAATGATTATTTCAGCTTGTGCTGATCTCAGCACAAGAGAACATGCAATTAGCCATGTCTGTGCTTTTCAGAGGGTGCTGAGGAGTGCACTGAGCTAGCAGGAAAATTCAGTAAAGATCTTTCTTGTGCCCGTTTACCTTATCCGTTTCAACCAGAACTGGTGGAGCAGGCTATTTGTTCAGCTGGAGTTGTTACAACTTTATTTTTAAGTTCTTTATTGCTGTTAGGTGCTGTAATTGTAAAAATAGCCGTACTGTTCTCCCACCTGTTTCTAGCTACGTGCATCCAGTTTTTATATATACAGATAAAAGTTATTCTTCTGCTTTTGTCCATTTTAAGTTAAATCCAGTAGTTTATTGGATGATGGTAAATATTTCCATTTTGCACCTTTTATTTTTTCCATGTAGGTTTTTATCAGGATTTTCTTCAGGAGGTTTCTCCTGAAAGCAGCTGTATTATCATAATTTGTATGAGAGACTAAAACTATTGTAGATTAGCTGTTTCTAAATTTGCTATGTATTTGTTGTTTAAAAAAAAAAAAAAAGGTCTCTTTGCCTGAAACTAAATCTCTAAGGTTTGCAAAAGCTGTTTTCAGTTATTCCACATCCATGATACTAATGTAACTTGTTAATGCAACTTCTAATTTAGTAATGTTTCTTGCCATGTCTGTTTTGATACAGAGAAAGAATTACAGCTGTGTTTTCTCAGATTTAGTGAAGTGGCTGGGCTGGTTTGAAGTTTCACTGCTCTCACTAGGAGCAGTTCCATCCTTCTCTAAATCTCCCCACCTGTGTGTTGCACTTCTGCTTGCTTGGATGCTGTACTTGTTTGATCTCTGTGATTTGGTTTAGCAAGCTGAAATAATACATGAAACTGTGTGTGCTTATTTTTGACTGGGTTAGTTTTCTGTTGGCCTAGGGGACACATTGGATCACAGGTTGTTCCTTTGGATGACAACAGGATTTTAGAAGGGCTCATAAACTAGTGAAGCTTCACTGCAGATGGAATAAACACAGTGTAAGTTGGTATAGACTCAGCATTCTCACTTAAGGCGTTTTGCACTTTGGTGTGTTTCCAAGCTACGGATGTCCTAAAATAGTTACACTTTTCTTTCTGGCTGCGCAGGTGTTTCAGGTGGTAGATTTCTGAAAGAGCAGTAAGCATTAGTTTGTGGGGTGCTTTAGTCTCATTTGGCAGATCTTGGTCACATGAAAGTAATGTATTTTAATGTCTATGTTCTTTTCTGCAAAACATTTCACAAAGTAATTCCTGTGGAACGCACATAGCAATTTCTTAAGCAGCTGGGAGAGCTGGCATTCTCTCATCTATCATGAAATCTTGTTTCAGCAAACCATGTAAGTTTGTGGCTTCTATTATATTTTTACCCTGTTTGCCTTCCCTTTCTCTATCACATTTTTTTTTTCTTTCCCGGTCATCATTAATATCACAACTCTGCTATTTCATATCGTCTCTGGTTTCTGCTCCATATGGAGAGCAGAATTCCATTAATGGAGCATGAATTATAAATTTGATTACCTCATGTAACTATATGTACTATTTTACTTGGATTTTATTGTTTCATATTTCAAAGTTCTTTTCTGTGTTTTTGTCTACATGGTTAACTTGGTTCTGGAAAACTTAAGTTAACACTGAGTTCTGGAGTCGTGACTCATTCTTTATTAATGGCCATCTGTACTAGAACAGTTTGGGCTTCAGTTTTTTGCCTGTTCTTAGAGCTTCCATTTTTTTTCTGCAAGTAATTTGGCACTAGGGTCTTTTGTTTTCAGTGCTTTTGACTTTATGCATGAAAGGAGGTATATTTTCTCTTTTTTTTTGTCGCTTAGCAAGTGGCAGTTTGTTTTATTTTGGAGATCTGACTCTGGACTCACCCTTGTAACAGAAAACTGTTATAAAATGAGGTAAAAACTTGCATACAGGGAGAAGTACAAACTTTAATTTTGATCTGTCAGTGAATAGGCTATTATTACAGCTGGTCTAAAGACAGTAACGATTTTTGATTTATGCTCTTGGAGTTCAGACTGTCTTCAGCACATGGGCTGTTAGATCTTTCTCAAATTACCAATTGACACATGGGCTGTCAGAGAAGTTATTTTTCACTTGCCTTTGCCCTTGCTCTTGAAGCTAAAACTTCAGAGCTTTAACTGGTGAAACATGTGAGCCTCAGGTCTAAGCTCAGATGTTTGGCCAGTTCAGTAACTAGAAGTGTTTGACTAGCACTATAGCTACTACTAAACAATAATGTTGTAAATGCTGTGGTATTGGGGGGTGGGGTGTGTGTTTGCTGTTGAGGGTTTTTTTTTATAGTCAGGACCAGCAAAGAGATATAAAATGCGGTCTGTTAAAATAAGCTTTGCGTCCTTCAGGTAGTTTGCTGGCCTGATATAGCAGATTATTTTAGATGTATATATATTCTGTGGTACAGGCAAGTGTCTTGCTGCACCTCCTACTAGTTAAATTTGGGGGCACAGAGACTTCTATACTATGCATTGTCATTCCATTTTATTAAACACTTGATTTAAAATTTTCATTATAACTTTTTAGCCTTTATAATTTACTATGTACAGAATTGTAAGCCTTTCTGAATATATTGTACTTAATAGGTTTTCTTTGTGAACAGAAGCCTTTGCATGCCTTTGCCTCCTTTGAATTTAGTTAAGGTTTCATTATGCTTGAATGTAAAGCAATTCACTGATAATTCTGAAATTTCTGTATATTCTTTCTGATTCATATTCATTAAGGATTTCTTTTGCAGAAGTGCTTACAATAGAAATAGCATGTTACCACCTCAAGCTTTTATTCTCGGTACCCTGAAGAGACTTATATTTCAGTGATATCCCACTATTGTTGCATAAGTAGCAGAAATACTTTGTGGTTCAAGAAATCTTTGGTGCATCTAAGGCAGAACTTGAAAAACTTACTCTTGTCAATCAGGAAATCCTTCCTGTCATAAAGAATATTTGTGGGATATTCCACCCCTCTCTCCCCCCGCGCCCCGCCCCCCCCCCCTCAGAAATCTGATGTTTGTAAAACTTTTATTCTTTTAAGACTAGCAGGATGTGAAATTTTACTGTTTTAGGAAAAAGGTTGAGTCACAATCTCAGCAAGCAAAATGCATATAAGGTTATCTCTTTATATTTTTATTAAAATTCAAATGCCAGAAGTTGTAGCTTTTCTTCTGTGGAGTGGAAGATCATGTTGGTCAAGTAATGTTATCTTGATGCTTTGCAGAGCACTCAAGTGTGCTGGTATCTGGTCACTGAAAGCAGACTACTGATGTAGTAGGTACTTTGATATGCCCAGTGGCAGTTCAAGCATTGGATGTGTGAATAACCTCTGGGGAAACCACAGCTATTCCAAACAGAGAGATGGAAAATAAAACACCATAATGCAGATTTTTAAATTGAGTTATATTTCTTATAACTTAAAGCACAGCTCTAAACTAAGAAAATTTATTTTGTGGATGTAAGGTTTCTCAGGACAACCTAAATTGAATTTATCAATCTGTAGTTGTTTCCTTACTGTGTTGTGTCTTTTGTTTTGTTTACATTCTGTCAGAATCTGAAGGTAAGATGCAGGCTGTTTTATCTGTTGTTAATGTTTGTAAACAGACCCATTTTTCATTAATATGTAGCCTTGGAGCATTCAGACTTTCTTAGTCACTTTCTTGTGAGCATGCCTGCTTTCTACTTCAGCTGTTGAATACACAGCGAGATCCTTTACCTGATTCTCTAATATGAGGTGAAAATGAAGTAACTGATACTGAAAAGTTGTTAGAATGAGGATTTGCTCAGTACCGTAATTACTTAATGACCCCAGGGCAGTGGCTGATTCACTGTATAAGTGCTGCAAACTGTGTCTGTCACGAGAAGCTGGATGGCATTTTGGCAGAGCAGCGCTGGCTTCAAGCTGTACTCTGGCAGAGGAGGAGTGCGAGTTGGGTAAGAGCACAGGGAGAGAGTATGAAGCGTCTGAGAGATGGGACCACCTAACTAGCTAGGAGAGTTGCAGTGCTTCTCCATTCTCTGAGATGTCCTGTGTTTGGCAGGTTGTTGGTGTGACAGGGGTAAGAGCAAGAATATAAGGTATGAACAGTAAGTGGTGCACGT